GCGGAATCTCTGAACTTCTGCAGCTGCTTCCCACCGCGGTTCTGCCGCGGTCGCGGTGGAACCGCGGTGGATCCAGTTCTCTGAATCTTCGGCCTGTTTTTGCACGGGTCACTTAGGAAATTTCGCAGTTGGCCTCTTTTTCATCACTTTTGACTCCAAAACTGCTCCTTAGCCGTCTTTATACATATATCACCTATAAATCATGAAAAGCACTAATAAGAGCATTTTGTCATCACTTTTAGCATTAAAACTACACAAGAAGGTGATTATTTAAGGTGTGATTATAGACAAATTCACCTATTATCAACACCCCACACTTAAATCTTTGCTCGTCCTCGAGCAACTAAACCACACTTCTAGGCCTAACTGCTCAATGCCTTGCCCCAATTTATGTCACACCTGCTATTATCAATGATCGACCCAAGCAGTGCACAATCGTATCTCAAATGCAGACTCTCATACCAGACACACTTGTGCTCACTCTAATTACTCTAACAGAAGTGAAGACTCACTTTTTCTTCCTGAGTCACATGCCCTCACATAAACAAAATCTGAGAGAAGTTCCACACACATAAAATTCAACAATAAGGAACCATATATGGAAAGAATTCACTCACTCTCAGCAAAGAGCATTCACATGCCACACAGACACACCATAAGCTTGCCCCTAGTGTAATACTCCACTAATCGAGCCATTCAGTCCAAGATCAAGAGGTCTTTATAGGTTGTAATGTAGGCTAAGGGACGGGTAGGATATATTTGGATATAGTGACTAACCTCCCTAAGCACTTTTAATACACACTTCTATTTTTTTTTTAATTTTATTTTACCTTTATGCTCAACCCAATCATTACTCCACATTTTGTTTCACTTGTGACCCCCACTTTTCGTTAGGTCCAACTGGCTGCTTCTTCTCTTCTTTTTTTTTTTAATATTGATTGTACACTGCCAGTTCACCAACCAGAACCTTCATTCTTGATTCCCCTTTTTTCACTAACTCTCTCCCACCCCACACTTTGACTTTTGTATATTCTTTAGTGATTCAAGTGCTTCTAGGAGGTAACGGTTCAAACAATTAGCTTATTCAAACACAGCGATTTAGATCATTATAGGGTTATCAAAGAATAGGCTTCAGGCTCAAAGGGGTTAACTATGGTAATATTCACAGGTGGATTCTCAAGTATAAAGGGTTGCACAAAGAAATGCCTCAATCATCTCCAAAACCAAACGACTTCTATTTCGCTTTGCAAACACACAAGGCAAGTTCTAGGTATCATATGCAAGCATAGAATGCAAGTAACAACTCACACCCACTTAGCATGTAACTCATTCCGAATCAGTTCATCAACACAATCATACGGGTGTTCAAGCAAGACAAGATGTGCAAAATTAAGGTATATATTATGAGTCCACAAACAAGCTTAGATCTTACACCCTTAGTTCGTTTTCTTTGCAAGTGTGCACATTTGGGGTTACATTCTGACCTTCACCCATTTAATCCTAAAACTATAAAAGAAAAATCTACCTAACCCGGTTCAAGAAAAATCCTTGGAAAAGAACCGTGGTCAAAAGAAAAACCAAAGGGGAGGTACTACACTACCTAAGAGAAGAAAATAAAATAAAAAAAAATTCTACATGGACTACTTCCCTCAAGAGTACTGTCCACATAGTCCGTCATCAGGAAGAGTCCTCTACAAGTTTTTTTTTTTTTTTTTTATTTTTATTTTTATATATATATATATCTGACTTTGACCCTCAAGAGACCCGTCAACAAGTGTCCGTCGTTGGGCCAAGTCAGCTACTCCTAATATAACTTACTCACATATGTACATCACATCTACTGCTACCACACAACAACAGCTATATACTATTTAATACACATTTAGAGCAAGTCTCCCACCCCACACTTAAAATCATGGCATGTCCCCATGTCATATCAATACAGTAAAGACAGAAGAGTGAGAAGACTTCCCTGAGACTCAATCCGAGTCGGAGACGGTGCTGGGGTCTACATGGCAAGCCCTCCCCAATGCGTGTAGCCAAGCCATAAACCGGCTCTCAGATCTAGCCTGCCTCTGTAACATGGCATCCATCCGTGTGTGTAGACCATCCACCGAGGTGCGGAGATCCGCGACCTCTTCCTCTAAGGAGCGCATCATAGGCCGGGANTCGAAGAGGTGATACCAGTACCAGCGCCTTCGACCTCGGAAAAGTCAAGAACCAAAGATAAGCAGACGGCTAAATAACAATCACCGCCCCAACCTCGACTGAATCGGAGCAGCAGGTAATGAAAGATGAAGAAGAGGATCTCCATACTCCTCGAACTTTCGTCGTTCCCGAAGAGTCCGATGCAACCAAGTCGAAGGTCGAGGAACTGGAGCAGGTCATACTGATCGAATACATTCCCGAGAGAAAGGTATACCTGGGTACGGGGTTAACCCCCGAACTCAGGAAAAAACTCATTCAATTTCTTATTGATAATATGGATTGTTTTGCTTGGTCCCATTTAGACATTACAGGGATCCCACCGGAAATAACAACACACCGACTAAGCCTCGACCCCAGGTTCAAACAGGTAAAGCAAAAAAGGAGGCCCCAGTCCGAGGTAAAGCATGCATTCATAAAGGATGAGGTAACCAAACTTCTTAAAATAGGGTCTATTCGGGAGGTAAAATACCCCGAATGGTTAGTCAACGTAGTTGTAGTTCCAAAAAAGGGAAACAAACTTAGAATGTGTGTAGATTACAAGAATTTAAACAATGCATGCCCAAAAGACTCTTTTCCATTGCCTAACATCGATCGCATTATCTATTCCACGGCCTGCCACGAGATCCTAACTTTTCTCGATGCCTACTCCGGGTACAATCAAATTTAGATGAACCCGGAGGATCAGGAGAGACCTCGTTTATCACTAAGTTTGAAACATACTGTTACAATGTAATGCCCTTCGATCTAAAAAATGCTGGAGCTACATACCAACGCCTAGTTAACAAGATGTTCGAGGAACAGATAGGTAAATCAATGGAAGTTTACATTGACGATATGTTGATTAAGTCCCTGTGCGCAGAGGACCATTTAACTCATTTGCAGGAAATATTCAAAATCTTAAGGAAATACAACATAAAGCTTAACCCGGAAAAATGTGCCTTTCGGAGTCGGCTCGGGAAAGTCCCTCGGCTTCATGGTACCGGGGGATCGAGATCAACCCCGATAAGATCAAGGCCATCGAAGATATCACAATCGTGGATAGTGTGAAAGCCGTGCAAAGGCTAACAGGACAAATAGCAGCCCTGGATTGATTCATTTCGAGGTCATCGGATCGAAGTCATAGGTTCTTTTCCTTGCTCAAAAAGAAAAAGGACTTCGCATGGACCCCGGAATGCTAGCAGGCC